TTTCCTCATCTATAGAGTGAGAATTCTAGGTTTACCTATCTAGTAGGTATCATTTAAAAACTAAATGAGGAAAAGCATGCTGTGCTCATATTGCAGTTATTCTCTTCCTCACTACCATTAATGTCAGTTAGCTTAGTAGGCTAATCTGCAATTGTGTCAGGAGGAGCTCAGTGAAGGGGACCCTTATGTCTAGAAAGCCCCTCTTGGGGGGAGGGGAATTTGAGGGAAACTTCCCCCAGGTGTTTGCTGAGCAAGGTATCCCAGGCAGGAGAAACCACAGGTGCAAAGATCTGGCAGTTGGGCTGAGAATGGTGAGGAGGGGTGGAGTTCATCACCATGATGATCCTTTGTGTAGCTCATTCCTTGAATCATTTTGCTGTTTGGGGCAGTGGTAGTGCCTTTTTTTTTTCAGACAATCAAACCATGCTCCCTACTCTGTGCATATGAAGGCCAGCCAATAGCCTCTGAGGGTCTTCTGCATCTCCTGACTTGGTGTGTGTGTGTGTGTTTAATGGACAGGTGAAATTGTATGTGTTTATCATGTACAACATGATGTGTGACTACATGTTTGACTTGAAGCCTGCCTTAGGCAATGTGGTCCCATTTAAAAAGCAGAGGTCTTAAAGTCATATAGGCCCCAGTCAGAATCTCTGTTCCATCTCTGACTGTCTCTGTGATCTTAAGTCGGTCACTTGGCCTTCTTGAGCTTTGATTTCCTCAGCTCTAGAAGCCCACAGGGGGTAAGGCCAGAAGGGACATTTGGCCTGAGCCCAAAGTTCCTGGGGAGCCTCAGATTTGGAACTGTCTCTGACTGGGTTTACATATAGTCATTGTAAGGTTTTGTAGGTACTCTGAATATTAACTTGTTAACTGGATATTTAAGCCATATTTTATGGGTGAGACCCTCTTGCACCCCATCAGCTGGCACAAAGATCCAGTATCCCCAAAGTGTGCCTAGAAATGCTTTGGGGACTTTAGAGGCTTGGAGAAGTCAGTGTGACCAGCAAGGAGGAAGGGGTATTATAGGACCAGACCTGAAGGAACCCACCCCTGGCCTAAACATCTCCAATCCATGCCACCCACCCCACAGACTTCAACACTGACAACTTCATCTGCAAAGAGGACTTGGAGCTGACACTGGCCCGGCTCACCAAGTCAGAGCTGGATGAGGACGAGGTGGTGCTCGTGTGTGACAAAGTCATAGAGGAAGCTGACCTAGATGGCGATGGCAAGCTGGGCTTTGCTGACTTTGAGGACATGATCGCCAAGGCCCCTGATTTCCTCAGGTGCTGTCACCCCAGGGACTGGGCTTGGGGAGGGAAGATCAGAATTTTGGGGCCACATCCAGGAGGACTGGTCTTATGGTACCTCCATGGTTAATGATGTGCAGACCAGGAAGCAATAGGTCATCTTCAAGGCTCAGATCCCCTTCATGTGTGGCTGGCCTTGTTCTTTGAAGGACCAGACTCTCCTGGGAAGGATACAGACCTGGAAGGTCCTTCAGTTATGACGGGTGCTGGAAACCAGGAGGATAGCTGTTGGTTCCTCTGAACCTTCCTTCCCTTGGGGTGATTAATTGTGCCTCTGTGCAGATTACCCTAAGGAACTGGCCAGGGGTGGGCCAGTTCTTTTTTCCTAAGGAGCCTCTACCTGCCCCATCCAGGACCTCTCACCCTCTCCTTTCCTTGCTCTCTTTCCAGCACTTTCCACATCCGGATCTGAGGACACTGCCAAGGCTGTGGGACCTGGAAGCTCACCACCCAGCTCTGCTGCCTATACAGGTGTGGCTGCATGCTTCCCAGGAAAGGAACGGCAGCCTCTGGGGTTTACACCCATGAACATTTCCTGTGGCCCTTTCAGCAAAAAAAGAAAGAAAGAAAGAAAGAAAAAAACCTTAACGAGAGAAGTGGGTTGTGAGGAGTAGGACCCTTCCCAGGGCTCCCAGTGGTCCAGCCCCAGGACACATAGCCCCTGAGCAGATCCTTCCATCCACCCCTCTCTCCCCATCAGAAATGTCCCTCCTGGGAGGGGACGGAAGAAAACCCAACAGGAAGTGGTGGGGTCTGACTTGACCATGTGCTGGGTTGATACCCCAGTCACCCAGAGCAAATACAAAAAAAAAAAAAGAGAGAGAGAGAGAGGTCAGGCTTTAATGAGCTATATAATCTTCTTCCAAAATCCAAGGCTGAGCTGTGCCCCACTCTGGCCTGTTCCTCTTCCCACCACTCCCCAATGTGAAGCTGTGTGAGCGGTGGGTCCAAAGGGCTCTGTCCCTGTCTGTCCCTGAGTTTGAGCACCACCCTATCCAACCTCCCCAATGATGTGGAATCCTCACTGGTGTGTGCTGTCCACAGATTTGTGAACTCCTGGTAGTAAAACACTCTGTGTCCCACACACTCGGTGTCTGCCAACATTAGGAAATGTTCAGTGGTACCTATTCTCCTGGTCCTTAAAATCCCACTGAGAGTGCCTTGCCTCACAAGGTTACACACATCTCTTTCTCCTCAGACTCTGACTTTTGTTTCAGTGCTATGCCTTTGGGAGGAAGGCATACCACACCTATGCCTCACATTTTCCAGTGAGCCCCACAAAGGACAGAGGAGGATTGTTTCCATTTCACTCATAACAATAATTCTTGCTAACATTTGTGGACTCAGGGCTAGCACCTTTGCTTTCAACTCTTCCTCCCAGAGTAAGGATTCATAGCCCATTTTTCTGAAGGGAAAGTTGCATAGCCAAGTGCCCCTAAGGATAGATCTTCCCTACAAATGTGCACTGAGCCAAGTCTGCCCAGGGTCTGGGGTGGAGAGGAGGGGCCCCTATGATCTTCCATCTGGAGATGGTTAATTCTGGTCTCTGTCTCCTCTGGAGGCAGTGCAGAGGGGGACAGCTAGCCAGGTGCTCACCCTTATAGAGGTGGGGACACATGGGTGAGGAAGGATGTAGTACAAAACAGGAAGGATCTCAGGAACAGCTAGCCTAGCCTGAGGGAATGACCAGAGCAGGAGACCTGAGTGCCCTGTGTCCAGACCTGGTGTCTAGACAAGACTCTGAGGGCTCCTTAGAGACAGGGCCACCAGGTTGTAGCTGGGTCTCATGGGTGGAGTCTAAGATCCACTCAAAAGGTCAGTACTGGCTGAAAGCAAAAGGCAGGTGAGGAGGTGACCTGGCCACACAGGGATGGCTACTAGGTGTCCACTGGGTGATTCCAGATGTCACCCAGCAGTCCATCTCAGGCTGACCTCAAGCTGGACCCTGTCTTAACTAAGAAGTGTCTGCTCAAGCCCTGACCAGCTCTGTGGTGCCAAATGGCCTACTCTTGTCTAGGCCTTAGTTTCTTCATCTGTAGCACAATGAGATTGGACTGGTGCTTCTTAGGATCTGCCTAGCATGCATGGTGAGGCTGGGATCAAAATAGGGGACAGGGAATAGCCAAGGAGCAGTTCTTGGGAGCCTGGCCTGCTCTAGGATCACAGCCATGGCCTAGAGGCTAGGTCTTTGTAGCCACATCCCTGGCTTCTTGTTCTGGTCCCCAGGGAACAGAAGCAGAGGATATGGCTCCTGACCCTCCCCTCCTTCCTACTGATAGGTCCTTGAGAAGGGGAACTGGTTTTGTTCTCAAGAGCAATTGCATGATGTCACTCAGCCTGTTAGGAAAATGTCTTGTCCTGGCCCAGGGCCTGCCACATGTTTGGCAAGTGGGCTCCGTCCATCAGCCCAGGCCTCTACATGTTCACCTAAGAAATAGGGTTGCTGGCCTCTCTCTTTGACCAGTACCCATTCTCTGGCCTTATTCCCTCCTCTGCATGGACCGGAGGCACTGGGAAAACAGGACACAGCCAGCAACTGCAGGTGGCTGGAAAGTCCCTCCCACCTCTTCCCAGGTAGGCATCCCGTCTGTGTCTCTGGGGCACTGGTTGGGCCCAAGGATCCGAGGGCCACCTGCAGGTGAGCTGAGGGCTTCACAGTAATCCCTGGCATAGCCTGGATACTAGGAAACCCACTGGATTCCAGGCCCTCCTCAGAATTTAGCCTTCTTGTCTGCGAAGAACAGCCTCCGGAGCTTGTCAGGCTGCAATAAAGGAGAAGATGCTGGCACCTGGGGTCTCTGAACAGGGGAGGAAAGACCCTGGCTTAGAGACCCATCAGCATTGGCCTGGGGTTGGGGGTCCAAGCCCAGGAAATGGGGCCAGGTTGGAATATTGATAATTGCTCCCACAAGCCTCTCTCAGTGCCTGAAACTCAGTTTGGGCAGAAGGATTCACCTGCCTCTGGTTAAGAAGACGGAAGAGGAAGGAGTAACCCCCCCCCCCAAAAAAAAAAGTGGAAAATAAAGCTCAGCTTACTCCCTGAGTGCTCTAACCCCAAGTTCTGCACCTCAGCTAGGGCCCTGACTCTGCATTCGTGAGGCAGAATCGGGGAAGGGTTGACCCAGGGCCACTGGTTTAAGAAAAGACACAGGACAACAGCCAGCAGACGTGGGATGTGGCTTCTGAGGTCCTTAAAGGACTGCCCACTGACTGGCCCAGGAGGGTCAGGACCTCAGAGGTTGTTGTGTGGGGGGACGTGGGCTCAGCCTGCCCTGAGGGAGTTGCTGGAGGGGTTCCCTAGAGGCCTTTCTCCTAAGATCTCAGGGTGTCTAGGGTTTCTAGTGCCTGAGCCTGAGGCCATGCCCACAGGCAGGGGACTCTGTGATCCCACTGTTGCCAGGTATAGGCAGAGTGCAGCCAGAGCTGAGGGCACAGGAGGCCTCCTTTGCTTCCCTGGGAACCCTGGGCTAGCCCCACCCCAACTGCTTCCCTCTGCTCTCCAGATCCCCAAGTTTTCCTCTTCTTCCTTATTAGAAACCCTCAGAATTAACAGCCCTATTCGCCAAGAGCTTTCTCTGTGCTGTGTCCAGAGCGCAAGAGGATGTCTAGCACTATCCTTGGGCAGCTGCTGCTGGACACAACCAGAGGATCGGCCCATTATTTTACAGAGCAGAAAACAAAGGTCCTGGATAGGGTTGCCAAATAATATAGAATGCCCAGTTAAGTTTGAATTCAGATAAATAGGGAATAATTGCAGTTACTTGAGACATTTTTAAAAAAATATTTATTGTTTATCTGAAATTCAAATTTACTTATATGCTCTATATTTTATCATGCTAAATCTGGCAACCTTAGTTGCCAGGGAAGTTGTCTTGCCCAAAGTTACAAAACTAGGAGTGGCTCAACCATGATTAGAGCTAAGGGGCCCTTCTTCATTTCTCAGAGCTCCAAGGCCCCTGCAGTGGCTGAGAGAGGGCCAGAGAGCCTGGTCTTCTGCAGAGAAAGCTCTTAGATGGGCTTGAAGGCCCCATCTAACACTCAAATCAAGCAGCTGCTTTTCTCAGTACTATCTCCACCAGGTGGATGTCAGGGCTAGAAAATTGTGGGCAATGGAAGTGTCCTGACCTGCCAATGCCTAAAAGCTACAGGTCCCCTTACTATCACCGGGTGTTCCCTAAGATCAGCTAGCCTCCCATCCCACCCATAGAGCTCACCTTGTGTGTTCGTCCAGACTCCTTGCTCTTGGCTGCTGGGATTTGCTCATAGGTGTTCCCAGGCTCTGGGAGCTCTGGGGTCCCCAAGATCTTCTCATAGCTACAGTCCGCAGGCCTTGACAGTTTGCTATATGTGGGACTGGCCCCAGGATGTGGAGGCCTAACTGGGCCACTCCAACAAGCTGGAATCTGCTCATAAGGACTGCCTCCTTGGTCTGCTGTCCCAACAAGCTCATACGAATCTGCAGAGATGCCCTGGGAGCAGGACTGAGCCTCGTGACCTTGTTTCAGAAACCCCTGCCTCCAGGTAGCAGCCCGAGATCCCAGGGCCTCAGAACTGGGGGCCAGGAGAAACCCCCAGGACGTGGAAGACATTGTAGAGCCCTGGTCGGGACTCACCCCAGAGAGGGCAGGCCCTGGGCCATCAGGTCTATTCTGGTCTCCATCTGAAGGTCTCTTCAGAACCTCCCTGCCTAGGGAGCAGGCCTGGCTGCTAGCTGGAATTGACCCATGCCTGCTGGATGCTTCTGTGCCCGGGCCTAGCCGTGCCTGGTTCATCTTCTTCAGGTCTGCGTAGATGATGTCACTGGGGCCTGAAAAAGACTCATCCAGGAGGGAGGTACTCCTCTCAGGGAGGGGGGGTACCTTGGTGGGGGTCTGGGGAGAGAGGGACAGAGAACCTCTTAAAGGGTACCCCATTGCTAGGATGCCCTCAGGTTAACTGGACTCTCTCAGATAAGCTGAGGCCCCTGTCTTGGCCTCAGTTTACCTGTTACATGCTGGGGTTAGGATATGACATTCAGGGTCCCTGCCAGCTCTCGTGCTCAAGGAATACAATCTTTACCTTGAAATTCAAGTCCTTTGGCCACCAGCTCAACTCCTTACTCAAGCTTAGTCTGCCCTGTTCCTTCTGCCTCCAGTGTGGTCCACTGGTCCCTCAGAACCCCTGAACCCACCTACTTACTGCTGTCCCCATCAGAGTTGCCCACCCCCAATTCTATCACTGGTGTATCCTTTCAGCAAATACTTAGTGAACACCAGCTATGTGCCAGCCAGTCTTGGGCACTAAGGGCTCAGTGGCGAGCAAGATCAGCCCTTGTGAGCCTATGTTCTAATCTGGACATAGGCAACACAAGGCTCTATTACATAGTATAAGGGGACTTTATATACTATATGCTACTACTTGATCACAGTATAATGTGGTGTCACGTCACAATCAGTACTGTGAAGAGCAAAGTTAGAATGGCAGGTGGGAAAGAAAGTTTTTTTTTTCCATTTAAGTGGATCTTACTAGGAGGGGACATTTAAAGAGAATGGAGTGCAGCGAGAGTGTGAGCCATACTATGGTCTGATGGATAGCGAAGGAAATCTGAGTCCCTCCCACGGGGTGCTGTGAAGTAAGAAGTATTGGCCACAGGCACCCCACTCTATAGTTTACTAAGGGATTTTAGGTATTTCATACCAATTCTCTCAGTATAGCCTCACAAGAACTTCAGGAATGGTAAACCGAGATTTAGAGAGATTGCATAACTTGCCCAGAGTCATACAGTGAGAAAACAGCCAAGACCAGGCTTGAAACAAATCCCACTGGCAGGGGCAGGTCCTGGTGTGGGTGAGCCCCTGGCTGGTTCCAAGCTGGGCCTGCCTCTCTCCCAGACTGGTGTCCCCCCTCCGCAGCTGAAAGGACTGGCCAGCATGGCCGCTCAAGGCCTGACTGTGACGTGACACCCACATTGCTGGTCTAGAGGTCCTCACCCTGGACGGCCCAGAATCCTCCTCACCTCTGTGCTTTCCTCCTTGGAGGGGTTCCAGGGACTCACATCCAGGCTCTTCTTTGTGTGGAGGAAGGAGACCTGTGGCTTTGCAGAGGGGCAGGGGCTGGCAGCCTTGTCGGGGACCACTGTGGGGGATGCAGGTGGATTTTCCAGGTTGGTCTGGTGGAGGCCCAGGGTAATAGCATCATACAGATCATTGTCCTCTGGCTGGGGGCAGTGGGAACACAGCAGGCCCGTGGTCACACACTCCCTGCCAGCCTCGAGCTGCCTGCCAGCGCTGCTGGCAAGGACTGAAACATTCCCACCAGATTCCTGACCTCCAATAAAATTTTGCCACACTCTCCCCTTTTCAGATAGGGACCATGACCCCACATGGAGTGCCCCTGGATGGCAGTAAATAGGGAAGGTTAGAAAAGGCATGTGTCCCAAGTAATGGACGCCCATACCTGGGCACCCAGCCCCTCCACCCTCACCCCGGAAGAAGGGTGCTTACCCGGGGGCAGGCAGCAGCCAAGGTCTCCCCAAAGGGCTCGAGCTGCACTTCCTGGTAATGGCGCACCAGCTCGGCCAGGGTGCTGTGGCTGAGGGTGTCACCCGAGATGAGGTAGCGACGGTTTCGGAGCTGGTTGATAACAAAATGCCGGCAGCGATCGCTGCCCCTGCACACAAACACGGGTGGTCTGGGCTGCTGGCCAGAGGCATCCTGGCCTTGGCCTGGGGTCTGAACTCCAGGCCTGGGTGCAGGAGAGGGGCTCCAGCTATCTGTCCAGTGCAAACCTGACCTGGGGCCACCCTTTTGCCTTGGAGCCAGGGAGTGCTCCTCAGGGAGCTGGAAAGAGGTTTCCAAACCTGAGGACCTGGGAAGTGCCTAAGCTCTTCTGGTGGAGTCAAGGAGGTCAGGGTCAGGACTAGGGCAGATCCTTGGTGCAAATTTAAAGGGGCACCAAAATACTCAATCATCGGGAGAACAAATAATGCAATATATTTTTTTTCTCCTGGTACCAGGGATTGAACTCAGGGGCACTCAACCACTGGGCCACGTCCCCAGCCCTCTTTTGTATTTTATTTAGAGACAGGGTCTCACTGAGTTACTTAGCATTTCACTTTTGCTGAAGCTGCTTTGAACTCGCAATCCTCCTGCCTCAGCCTTCTGAACTGCTGAGATGACAGGTATGTGCCACTATGCCCGGCCAAATAATGCAATATTTTAGATCAAAATGAATGCAAAACTCCATAATTAACAAAATACCAAAATTTTAAATAAATGTCAACCTTACACCATTACAACTCAGCCTCACCCTAACTGAAACCATGAGGTTTCATTTCCCACCACCCCCTTCAGCCTAAAGTGTCCCACCCTCATCATTTTCCTTTTATATGGGAGAATATTGACAGTGAAGTGTACATATCACAAATGCACAGCTGAATGAATTTCCATATAGGTACACACCCATGCAACTGCCATGTAGATGGAGGTAGAAAATTCTTCAGCTCCTAGAAGGCTGCCTTGGGCACCTCCCTGTCACGGCCCCCAAAGCAGCCACTGTTTTAACCCTACCACCACGATTCATTTTGCCCTTTATGGAGTTTCATAAATGAAATTATACAAAATTTCTATTGTGTCTAACTTCTTTCACTCAATATTATATTTTGGGGAGGTTATTCATGTCTGTGTTGAATTAGTCCCCACCCCATTTATGTGCAGTTTTTCATCTAATGAAAAATCCACAATCTACTTATTGTGTTGATGGACATTTCGGTTATATCTGGATCTGGGCTGTTATAAATACAGCTGCCGTGAACATTCTCATTCGTGTCTTTGGAGAATATATCTACTCATTTCTGTTGAGACTATACCAAGGAATCAATAGGTCAAGGGTACACCTGAATCTAGCATGCCAAATTGTTTTCTAACACTGTTGCCAAGTATGGAGAGCGCCAGGTGCTCTGCATTGTCACCAGTTATTGGGTATCATCTGTCCCTCCAATTCAGCCATTCTTTGTGGTTTTGTTTTCCCAATACCTAATGATTCTGAACATTTTTTCAAGTGTTTAGGGGCTTTGGGATATTTCTTTTTGAAGTGCCTATTCAATCTTTTGCTTTTATATATTGAATTGTTTTGGTTTTGCCTCATTTACATATTCCAGATGAGTCCTTTGTTACCTATATGTATTTCCCCAAGACTGTGCCTTTCCTTCCCTGATAATCTTTTGATTGTCAGAAATTCTTAATTTTAAGGGAATCAAGTTTCTCCATCTTTTTTTTTAATGTTTAGTGCTTTTTGTGTTCTGTTTAATCTTTGCTTATCCCATTTTCAAAGGCATTTTAATATACTTATGAGAAAATTTCCTGTTTTCGTCTGGAAACGTTGTTTTGCTTTTCTCTTTTGGATCTTTGATCTGTCTAGAATTAGTTAATTTTTGGACATAGTGTGAGATAGGCATCATTTTTTTTTTCCATTTGGCTATCCCATCGCTCCCATACTAATTATTGAAAAAACAGGAATTGCAGTGGTGCCTCTGTTGTAAATCAGGTAACCAAACATGGCACACTCTCTGCATGTTCTTCTGTCCCACATGTCTATCTGTACTTTTTTGAACGGCCCCTTTTATCTCTTTTATAAGTTGGAATTCTGCCTAAGATCTCATTTGGAGGAAAAAACTCAAAACAAAACAACAACAACAAAAATACCAGATGCAGAAAAGACACTTGGAAACTGCTGACTTATATTTCAAAGTGCCTAGTATAGTGTCCTGCACATAGCTTAAAAATAACTATTTTAACAATGACTAACATTTCTTTAATCCTTATTATATCCCATGTACTATGCCAAGTACTTTTAAATGCATCAGTTTCTTGAGCGCTTTTAACAATCCTATGAAATAAGTAGGAGAACATTCCCATTTTTACAGATAAGACGAGAGAAACACAGAAGCAAAGAGACTTACTCAAGGTTAGGATTTGAACTAGGGGTGTCTGGGTGTGTGATAATTTGGAATCAGAATCTGAGGCATTTTAAATTTGTCCTACAGCCCTGACCTCCTTCCCTGCCTAAGGAGCCTTTTCCCTCCTCTGCCTTTCTCAGCTCAACCTACTCTCAGGTCAGGATCCAATGTCACCATCAATGACTTTGTCCTCGTCCCTTGCATCTTCCTTTCTATCACCAGAGCCCTACCCTAACCCATCCCACATACAGCCAGTAGCACAGGTCCTCACTCACTGTCCCGACACCTCCAGACTAGGCTCCTGAGAGACAAAATGGGCATCTGCCCAGATCACCCCTCTTGGTCTACAGAAGTTTCTTTTTTTCTTTCTTTTTCTTTTTTTTTTTTTTGTATCAGGGATTGATCCCAGGGGAACTTAACCACTAAGCCACATCCCCAGCCCTTTTTAGTTTTTATTTAAAGACAGGATCTCACTAAGTCCTTAAGGCCTCCATAAGTTGCGGAGACTAGTCTTAAACTTTTCATCTTCCTATCTCAACCCTCAAGCTGCTGGGATTATGGGTGCACCACCACTCCCAGCTTCAAGGCTGTCTTGAGATGCCCCTTCCCTCCTCTCTGGGTGTTCCTCCAAAGAAACCACGAGCCCTGCTGTATCTAGCCCTCAACACCCCGTTCTTTGCCTGGCAAATTGCTGTTCCTCCTCCTATTCTGGGCTCAAAGCTCCCCTCTGGAAGGCCTTCCCCAGCATCCCTTTGGGAGAATGTGCTCACTTGGCCCTGCTCCCCATTGAAGGCTGTGGCTAGTGCTGCTCAGAAAGTGTCTATTGAGCATGTGATGGATGAACAAGGGAGTAAGGGGCACGGGGCTCAGGGGAAGTCAAGCAGTGGGGGCTGCTGGACCCACACTGTGCTGATCTGTAGGCTGGTTCTGAGAGCCTGAGCCTGCCTTCCCCTCTTACCTGTAGGACAAGATGTAGCCGGCAGCCCTGTCACTGAGACGGATGAGGAAGGAACCGAGAGCTTTGTCCCTGAGTAGCTGCTCCGTCTGCCTGGGCAGAGGACATGCCATTAGCTGGGGCTCCTTCCCTAATGGCAGCCTAAGCAGCCTGACTCAGAGTCCTGCCTCAGAGTCCCTGAGGGATACACCCTTGGGCACCAGACCCAGGGCACAGACAGTCCTTCAACCCTTGATAGAGGACACCCTTGGGTCTTTGACTGGGTCTGCAGCCTCTCAGGGCTGCCTGTAGTCTGTCTTTGCTTAATTGAACAAATTCAAGACTCAATCTGAGACTGGATCAAGGTCCTGAGGCCACAAGGACCTCCCTCCTCCCTACTGCAGCCTCACCAGCAGGCATGCTAGCTGCAACTCCAGCCACACACTCTCCACCTGATGGTTGTGGATCAAGGACAGATCCATACAGCTGGAGATTATTAGGTTGGGGGGATCCCCCACTCAGGACCACTGTGTATAGTAGTGTGAGATGTGCACTACATAAGAGTTTCTGCAGGGAGAAGCCTCAAGCGTGGTCACAATAGCAGCTCACAGGGACTCACCACTCCCCGCCCCCCTCTTGTCCCCATAAGCCCCAGGCAGCTACAGATATTTCTACATGGTGCCAAGTATTTTGGAGGCATGATGGAAAATTCCAGCTGTTTTCTGGTTTGGCAGTACATCAACCCGATATTCCCTTACTCACTTTCTCATCAAGTACTTAACCAAGGGCCTGCTCTATTCAGGACCAGCTACGTAATCTACAGGGCCCAATGCCAAACGAACTCGCTGGGCCCTTTGTTCAAAAATTATTAAGAATTTTAAGATAGTGACAGGAGATCATTGAAGAGAGTGGGGGTCTCTCTTGAGCACAGGGCCCTGTGCAGTTGTACAAGTTGATGCCATAAAGCTGGCCTGGCTCTATGCCAGGATGTACCAGGACCTGGTGACTGGTCAAACGTCTTATGCCTTCATCTGATGCTTTGGCTACTTGGAGATACAGCCCAATTGGAAGACCAACCCCCACGTCTTGGCATTTATTCCTAAGGTATCAGTGCACTAGAGTTTGCCTGGGATATCCCATTTGTGACAAATTCTCCTAGCTTAGTTACCGACAGTGCCAAGTTTGGGTGACAAATGATATAGTCCCCTAGCCATCCAACCAGTTATTCAAAGCTGGTCTGAGTGTGTTCTGCTCCCGCCTGGCCTTCTTTCACCCCAGCAACCCTAGACCTGAGTGATGGCTAATCCCCCTCCCCCACAGCCTCTCCCTCTGCCACAGAATCAGCCACCAGAGGGTGGAGTGGTCCTTAGTCTGTTCCCCCATCCTTCTCCTCCCCTAAGTTCCCTGCCTAGCACAGGGAGAGGGCAGGAACCAAAGATTCCTGAATTCTCAGGCCACATACTCAGCCCCAAGGGGCTGAGGGCTGTGTGGCCATGTGGACAGGGGCAGTCTTACTTGCGGGTGATGAATCCATGAAACCAGGGGGGCAGGGCCCCATTCTGCAGGATGAAGGGGGCTTGGGTCTCCATGAACCATTTCATGGCTAGTTCCTGGAGCTCAGCCAGGGCCTGGCTGTCCCTTGTCTCCTCAGTCTCCCTCCCCAGGCTGAGCTGCTTCAGGCTTCCCTCCATCCTGGCAAGCACCAAAGCCACAGCAAGGCCGGGTCAGTCTGCGGGCCTCTATATCTGCCTGTGCTCTGGCTCATTTGCCTGAGCTCCCAACCTCCCACAGTGCACAGGAGCCCCATTGTCACCTCTGAGCGGTGGCTGGCTCTTCTCTCTGATGCTTTGGGACAGGGCACCTTGGCTGGCTGGAGTCACAGTGAGGAGGGCCACGGTAGCAGCCCAAGATGGGTAGGGACAGTTTCCTGGCCAGCAGATGAGCTGCCTCACCGGATTTGGCCTTTTCCCCCTGAACCTCCAGTCTTTGTCACAGCTAAAGACCAGACCCTGGCTGAAGTCCACAGCACTGCCCCTGTTAGCAAACCAGTGGATTTAAACTCTGCATATCTTTTCCTTGTGGATACCATTTGTATTTTGGTGGGGGAAGTTCTGAACATATTAATTCTTCCTTCCACTCAAAATTTATTGATTGCCTACCATATGCCATGTGAATCTGGGCCCTGGGAATAAAGCAACAAACCACACAACACTCTGCTTATGGACGTACAGTCTAAGCATTCCAAGACAAAGGGAGAGGGAAACACCAGAGAGCACATGGACCACACTTCTTAGGCAGAGGGTCCCTGGATGCAGTCAGCCTTGCCCACGAGGTGACAGTGAAGGAGGAAGAGCTGCTGTTACCAACAAAGGGAAAACCATGTGCCACAACCATGAGACTACATTGCTACAGATTGCAAGGAACGATGGGGAGCTCATGTGGCTGTAACAAACTTGGAAAAGCTGGGTCCCCAGAAGGACTGGGCTAGGCCTTGGACAGGAAGTTTTGGAGCAGTGTAGGGCCACATGGGACCCTTTGCTCATGTGAATATTCCTGATCCCTAATGTGTTTCTGAGTTTCACAGCAGAAATTCAGGCTAGGTGGACATGGAAGCAGGAGATGTTGCAATCAGTCAGCCCCAAGACCTGGGTTAGAATCCTGCTTCCATCACACACCTGACACTAAGTTGTTGCAGATACCTCAATGTACTCATGATGGGAATAATAAGCACTTTCTAGACTCTAGGGTCATTATGAGGACTAGAAGAGAGCATAATGGTAAAGAATAAAGAAACATTTACATAAATTCAAAAAAGGCAGAATGAATCAAAGGTGATAGCAGTCAGGATAGTAGTTATCTTGGGGATGTAATGACTGGGAAGGGGGCAAGGAGCTGCTGAATGCTGGTCAGGTTCTATTTTTGGATCTGGTTGGTGATTAGATGACTATGTTCACTGTATGAAAATTCACAGAGATGGGCACTCACAATGTATATTTTTCTATGTTCATGTTCTGCTTCAATGAAACAGTTAAAAGAAGGTGCTAAAATCACATTTCCATGGTTCAAATTCTACCTTACTAACTACATGACCCTTGATCAAATGTCATAAGTTTTCTGGTTTCAGTATCTTAATTTTTGAAATGAGGAGAATCATATGACCTGTGCATTCGTATTTCTTATATTGTTATAAATGAAAGGCCTGAAGCTGTATACTTTAAAGAAGTTTGTTTCGCTCACAGTTTTGGAGACTGAAAGTCCAAGATTGGGCTGACCCATCTATTTAGACTCTGGCAAGGCCTTCTTGGCTACAGCAATCACATCATGGCAGAAGGCATCATGGTGGGGAAGTGGGCAAGAGGGAGCCACTGCATGGTGAGACAGAAAGCCAGGGACCAGGCTCACTCTTTCATAACAACCCACTCTCACAGGATTAACTGGCCTATGAGAACTACTTTAATATCTTCCCAGAGTAGTACCCACCAATGACCTACCCACCTCCCACCTTTTAAAGGTTCCATCACCTCCCAACATTGCCACACTAAGGACCAAGCTTCAAACACATGAATCCTTGTGAGACAAACCATAGCAACCTGTTGTTAGAAAGGTTAAATGAGTTAAGTCCTTTAAACAGTGTTTGCAACAATGTAAGCAATTGGGATTAGCCACTGCTTGTGATGATGATGAGGAGGAGGAGGAGGAGGAGGAGGAGGATATAAATATTCTAAAATATGGAGAGTGCACCCTGTTGGAACCTATCATTATTCTTATTATTACAACTTCATCATGGGTCAACTCAAATCAAGATAAAAATGTGTGTGATGCATACAGTTTAGAGGAAAGACCAGGACATGAGGCAAACCTGGGTGGCTGCCCCTGCCTCTGAGCCATGTTTTCCACATCTGTAAAAAGGATAATTATTTTTACCACACACAGCATGGGATAAAATACTGCAAGTAACAGTCTTCACACAGGGGCAAGCACCTAGGCACATTGCAAGTGTTCTCAGAGGGCTGGCTCCCAGGAACATCACTTTGACAAACAATAGATTTCCAGACTTGACAATTTGACAATTTTAGGGAGGCATCAGAAGCAAACCATCATTCATGTTCTTGCTAATTGATCTCTCTTGCCACACACAAGACAGTGCTATCATGGTGTCAGAATGGAAATCCCAGGCTGGCAAGTTCTGGAATTCTCTAAAATGCAAAGTAGGAAGGAGGGAGATTGTATCTTTATTTTCCCTAATCTCTAACTGAAACTCAGCATTTCCTTCCCTTGGAAGAAATAAACCACATTAATGTTAGTAGCACCTGTTACTTTGTCAGCAACAGAAATACAGATATTTGCATATTACATTACAGCTGTTGCAGACAGATATCTTCTTTGTTCATCATTACCTCAAAATTATAGCAATTTGATGCAATGATGGATTGTGTTCCTTAACACATAAATAAAGAAGCACAAAGGGTTACTACATCAAGAATATTTTGATAAACCCTATTTTCACATAATTTATTTTCATTGTCCCTCTAGGTATTGTATTTTGTGCATTAAAAAAAAACTATTCTGGGGTTGGGGTTGTGGCTCAGTGGTACAACATTTGCCTATCATGTGTGAGGCACTGGGTTTGATTCTCACTACCACATATAAATAAATAAAATAAAAGTCCATTTACAACTTAAAAATGTTTTTCAAAGATAGATTCTGGGGCTGCAGTTGTAGCTCAGTGGTAGAATGCTCACCCGTACTTGTAAGGCACTGGGTTCAATCCTCAGCACCACATAAAAATACAATAAAATAAAGGTATTATGTTAACCTACAACTAAAAAAAAATTTTTTTTTTTAAATCTATTCTGAGCTGAGAATGTTGGCACATGCCTGTATATCCCAGCTCGGGAGGCTGAGGCTGAGGATGGCAAATTCAAGACTAGCCTGGGCAACTTAGCTAGACTCTGTCTCAAAAAAGCTCAGTGGTGGAGTGCCCCTGGATTCAATCCCCAGTTCTGCAAAAAGCAACAATAACAATAACAACAACAATCTATTCTGTGCTTACTAGCTATGTGACCCTCGGGCTTCAACAGATTTCAAAGAGGTCCATAGCACAAAAGAGGCTGAGATGGGGGGGCGGGGTCCAACTCAGAGTTGGTTCACTGCCAAAGTGAGATCCTGGAACTATTCAAATACAAAGAAATGTGCTTCTATAATTTTCCATGAGGTATTCTCTCTCCACCTCCCAATTAGGCTGGATACTTTTATGGGAAGAACCTGGTCATTTTCATAAGAGACAATGGCTTTGTGTACAAAAGGACACAGAACCCAGGATGGCTGTGGGCCAGGCAAATAAGGGGGAGTCTATATTTATACTTCAAGGAAGTGTGGAGCTGAGGGGGGTGGAGCCCCAGGTTTGAGGGGAATTGGAAGCTCCATGAAGGACTAGGGGTAGAAATAGATTGTCGTGGACAACACTCTGCATTCCATTGTTTAGTTCATTACACATGGGCAACTACTGGTGCTAGACCCTGGGCACAGAGAGGATGCTGGAATAGCCCCACCCACCTCCTCCTGGGGCCCAGAGGTGTAGGAAGAAGGATTAAGAGGCTTCAGGCTCTAGATCAGACTAATGGAATCCCAACTCCCCATTTGCTGGCTCTGCAGCTTACATTTATCTCCGTTTCCTCATCTATAAAAATGGCGGAGAAATGAAGCACCTACCTGGAAGGATCTGGTGATTCAGTGAGCTGATGCATGCAGTTCTGTGGCTGGGAGGCACAGCTGCACATGCTGGCCTCATGATTCACACACAGCTTCAAGTCATCCCCCCACTTGGGAAGTCCCCAGAATTTGATGTACTTGTCCTGTCTTAGTTCTTCCCTGTCTTGGGTTCTTCTCTCTTGAGGGTCTGCTTTTTCTAGAGGACAAACAGATGGCAGTGAATTATCCAACGAATTACTCTCTCCTAAAGGCATTCAGCCTGGCTTGTCTTCTTGGGAAACAGGCCTGCGGCATCCCTGGAAAGATGCTCAGAGGGAGTGTCTCTCCAGCCCAGTGTGGACAACCCCAACACTCTCTCGCTTCTCCTTTCTCGAGCCCATGCAGGGTGACCATGTTCATGATCCAGTGCTGCTGGCAGCTAGCCTCTTGGGTGAAATGCCAAAGTGGACTTTTCAGCAAATACTAGTCATGTGCTTATTTTAATGCATGGACACTTTTTTTTTTATCCTTAGTTGTTTTTAGTAGATCTGAATTTGTTCCATAAACCTGAACAGTGGAGAATGAATGATTCCACCTTCTTTATCTCTGCTTCATTCTCCACCCTATTGTGTCTAGAACAGTGTTTGGCACGGGTAGATGTTCAGTAGTTTTATTTAAATTATTATTTGAATAGATGATACATCCACATGGGTTTTTTTAATATTTATTTTTAGTTGTAGTTGGACACAATACCTTTACTTATATATTTATTTTTATGTGGTGCTGAGGATCCAACCCAGGGCTTCACACGTGCTAGTCGAGCACTTTACCGCTGAGCCCCCACATGGTTTTTAAAAATATAAAATATAAAAAAGTATCTGTAAAAATATTTTCTTCAAGTATTAACTCATTCCTGATCCTGGGTCTTTCCCACAGATCCTGTGTCTTTTTACTTGTTACTTGTTTCTGGATTGTTCTTCCTGGTTTTGTTTTGTTATGTTTTTTTAGTGTATATCCAAATAAATAAATATTTTCCTATTCTCCTTCACTCTTTTTCTTTTTCTTTTTTTTTTTTTGAGACAATGTCTTAGTATTTATCCTAGGCTGTCCCCAAACTTCTAGGATCAAGCAATCCTCCTGCCTTGGCCTTCCAAGTAGCTGGGACTACAGGTACATGCCACGGTCCCTGGCTTTTTTTCCTTTTTCCCACATGAAAGGTAGAATACTGTACAATGTTCTGCACCTTGCCTTGTAAAAAAAAAATTAACATATCTCAGAGCTCCTTCCAAAAAGTACACAGAGGAGTGCCATTCTTATCTATAACTACATAGTATTCTATTATATGCATGCATTTTAATTTTTGTAACAAGTCCCCCACTCATGATTACTTGGGTTGTTTCCAATCTTTTTTATTTCCAAAAATGCAGCCATGGATAACTTTATATAGACATGATTAAGCATAGAGCAAGTGCATCTATGAAGCACATTCCCAGAAGTGGGATCACTGACTCAAAGAGAATTTGCTTTTTTCATTTTGATAGATGTTGCCAAATTGCCTTTTTTAGGGGTTATATTGAGTTGTGCTCATTAAATATTGAATGAATGAATGGATAATAATATTTTCAAGATCAGTCATTTTGGGAACTCCCAGCACACAAGAAAAAAAAAAGGAAGGGGTCTGGTACTGGCCCAGAAAAATCACCAATTTTATTGTGATCCTTTTCACTCCTCAAGGCCACGGAGGGACTTCCTCTTGTCACTGTTCAAGCATAGCTGCTGGATAGGGAGGGTGGTATCCAGACATGTCCCCTTCAGCCATCCTTCCACCAAACATACACCGGATTTTGTGTTTTATTCACAGGACAAGGGCCAGGTATTGAGAACTTTCCAAGGAACCCTAGTAAGGTCTGAGACCTTGAAAAAAAAAAAAAAACAACAGAACAAAACTAGTGGTGGCTCCAAAATTCAAAAGGAGAAAATTATACAATTACAATGCATAAATGTGTAAGTAATTATCCATTCAGTGTCATCTTGTATCATCCTCATTTGGTATTCAGGAAAGTTTCATCATACATAAAAGTGGTTTGGAAGCCAGATGACTTTACCTTGCCGAAGTCTGGCTGGGCACAAATCACCGAGCTGCCACAAAGCACTTGTGTGTTCAAACAGGAAACTTTATTGCCCGAACTCCACCAGCACTGCACGCACACTCCCCTCCCCCCCAACTCTCCCCACTGTCTCACAGGCTCCCTGCTTCCCCCACTGGGACCCGCGAGAACTCAACACTCAATGGTAGTGGGCACCTGAGGCAGCAGGAACCACCCTATTCCCAGAGCCGCCCTATTCCCCCCCCCCAGCCACCCTATTGCCGGACAGCAGGGGTCCATAACATAACCATCACCATCTCAATGGCTTGCTGGCTTCACCTCTCAACCACTCCCTTCTGGCAGAACGCCATGCGTCATCCCCACTCTGCTGTGACCCTCAACATTACCTTATGAGAATTCTCCATCAAGCCAGAAGACTGCCAAGAAATCATTACCAATGTAAATTAAATGAATTCCTCAAAGCCAAATAATTTTAAAAGCAAAATCATAAAAGTAATCCTTTCCAAAAAAGCTTAAAGCAAAAACATACATATTTTTCATGTAAAATGTGGCCATGTCATTTAAAAATATAGAGTCAGCCTTGTGTACCCCAGGGCTCCCCATTAGCATATCCAACCAACCACAAGCAGAAAATGCAAAGGAAAAAAAATGCATCTGTGCTTAATATGTATAAACTTTGTTTGGTCATTATCCCCTAAACAATGCAGTGTAACAATGATTTACAAAGTGTTCACATCTTATTAGGCATTGTAACTCATCCAGAGATGATTTAATATGATGCACATATGGGAGGTTGCATATAGGATGTATGCAAATACTACACTATTTTATTTAAGGGACATGACCATCCTCAGCTTTTGGTACTCAATGAGGGCCTTGGAATCAGTCCTCTGGGGATATTTAGGGACACCTGTATTGTTATGTAGTGAAATGAGAACTCCAAAGAACCTACCATGGTATTAAAAACATTGCCACATACAACTCTCTCTCAACTTGGATGCTCTGGGCCTGTGGGTTCCTGACAACCCAGAGGAGAGGGAAACCATTTCTCAGATCAGAGAGGCACCCCCTGTTGGTGTGCCTCTCCATCACAGCAGCGAGATCAAAATGCAAACTAATTTCTCTATAAGTAATTCAGCTTCACTAGTAATCCTAAGTCTCATATAAAAAGGAAATTTTGCAGAATTGTGTGTTGTTTGCTCACAACAGTGAAGAAAAGATGCTCAGTTTTGGGATCAGTTTAGGGCTCACTGGGAAGATCAGGAGTTGAGAACCACACCTTGAGAAGCCTTGTTCTACTGTCTCTCGGAGGCCAGGTGGCTGCAGTGTGGCCCAGCTGTGTAGGCCTGGTGTTCCTGATAGCTTGAATAGCTGGGGCCCCAGGGTTGCCTCTCAGTCCTGTGCCTATTTTCCCTTTCCTCACTTCACAGCTGGGAAAATGGAGGCCCACAGTAAATCTTGAATGAATTTTGAAGCTTTACCGTGTGCCAAGTACATCAAATACATACTCATAATTTCCTTTCATCTTTATAGCAGGCGTGCAAAGGTGGTATTACTGTCTGCATTATTTCTGATTATAAAGACAAAGAAACTGAGGCTCAGGGCAGGAAATGATCTATCCAAGACTGATGTCAGTGACAGGATCGCTTTACCTTGCCTCCCTCCCTTCATGCTGCATCCACTTTCCACATCATTGCTCCTGCCATTGTCCCTGCTACCCAGGTTCTGAAAGTATTTTTAAAATGCACTGACTCAATGGGCTGGGGTTGTGGCTCAGCAGTGGAGTGCACACCTAGCACATGTGAGGCCCTGGGTTCGATCCTCAGCACCACATAAAAATAAATAAATAAATAAAGGTATTGTACTAAAAAAAAGTACTTAAAAAATGGACTGACTCAAAATTAACTCATGTTTAGTCCATCTAGTCAAAATTCAAAATAAATTTTAAAACATCTCACCATCCACTACTGTATCTGCTCCTTCTAGGTCTTATCTCTGCCTGTGGTCAGCATCCCCTGACTGCCTCCTGGGTTTGTTCCCCTGCATCTCTTTGCCTGCGTAAGTACATTTTAAACTTCTTCCACACCATTTCACCCAACCAGGCAATGCCTGAACTTCTGCATTTAGAACAATGAATCTCTTCCAGCTTGCAGTGAAAAGCCCCATCTCCCACCCTGGACTCAGAGCGGGGTTCTAGCCCCTAATCTGTGTGTGTGTGTGAGAATAGGGAGATCGGGGTTGGATATGTGGTTGGGGGCTGGGGAGGGAGTGGTGAAGACAGATAGAATGTGGTGTCTTGAGCATGGTGTCAGGCTCTGGGGACAGGGAATAGGAAAGACCTAGGGCCTCTGCCACTGCAGCCCATTGCCTCCCCTGGGCTCCAGGCCTCACCCGCTCCCCAGGTGGTGTGGCTCCCCCTAACTCCTGCGCAGGCCATTAAGCCCATGTCAACCTTCCACCCTCACCAGCTCCCAGGGAAAAAGAACCACAAGGTATGTAGATTTGCCTGCCAATTTGGTAGGGAAATAAAGCCCATTGGAAGCCAGAGTCCACATGGAGGGGCTCTGAGTCCTGGCTTCCTTGGCAAGACTCCTTCCCCTGAATCTTCCCACCTGCCTGGATCTTCTCATAGCAGGGGACAGGTCCAGTGCCCATAGGAGATCTCAGTGTTGCCCAGCACCAGCCAGAGGCAAAAAGCAGGGGCTGGGGTGGCTTGTGGAAGGAATTAGCTGCCACTAAGATTTTTGCCATGGAGCCAGCCACAGTCTCTGATGCCAGTTATGCTGCGTCCACTGTTACTGTGGCCCATTACAAAGATACCAATTTGAAGTGCAAGCAGTTCTGGAGGTGCCTGGAGAAGTTGGGTGGGGGTGATGGACATGCTGACCAAATGTTGGTAGCCTTCTATGAAGAACCAGAGAAACCTAACAGTGCTTTGGATTTTTTAAAGCATCACTTAGGAGCTGCTACCCCAGAAAATTCAGAAATAAGAGTTGCTCCTCTTAGAATTGGCAGAAATGAAAGAGAAATATGAAGCTACTGTAGAAGAAAATAAAAAACTGAAAGCAAAGCTTGCTCAGTATGAACCACCTCAGGAGGGGAAGTGTGCTGAATAGGATTCTTCTCAGTTGAAAAGATACTGAAAAATAGGTTTTGTATGACTTGAATAGTTTGTATAGTATATAATCTTTCCTGAACAGATGCTATAAAACTGTTTTAATATGTTAAATTCACGCTTGAACTGTTATAAACACATATACTAAGAATCACCAATAAAAACTCAATATAACTTGCTTTGGGTC